CTTCCTTGGCAAAGTGCGAATTCCCTTGCAAAGTGAACAGCCTATTTGCCTTTGGTAAATCAACCACCCTTTGCTCACTTTAGTTTTCGGTAGAGCAGACTCATTGGCACTGCTGTGCATTGGTCCTATGGCAACAGGTTTATGCCTAACTCCAGGAAAAATGATCATTTACACATTGCAAAACTGACCCACAGTGGCAATTCAAATGCGCTATGATTAACTTCATATTGCATGTTGAAATGTGTAAACAAGATGGACTGACCTTTGTACGCTATTATGGAATGAAAGCTTATTATTGAAGACTCATTGTGTGCCTGTCTTTCTAATGCTGACTTAGTGTATTGTGTTTTGTGGTGAGTCAAGCTTGAAAAGTTCCATTCCAATTGTACACATACAATGGACTGCGTATGCTTTAGAAGGATAGTGATTTTACCTCTACTTGGGTGGGATTCAAAGTTTCAGATTACCTCTTAAAGCGATAATGACAGGGTCACTTTAAAGCACAAGTCTGACATAAATGCAGCAAAAAGTTGATGCATTGTTCCACAGCTTGGATAAAAAGCACATTGTTTTTCCCGGATATTAGGCCCCGTTCACATCAAGGCTTTGGTCGCGTGTATTTTTCTGCACTGAAAAGCTCAAAACAGGACATCGCCATTCATTTCTATAGTTCCCGTTTACACCTGAGCTTAGTGTCGCGCGTAGAAAAACGCACATCAGCTTTTTTTGGCACCGATCAGTGCGATTTGTTCCCATAGACTCAACAGGAAACGCTTGAAAACGCCAATTGCAATTGTCATTGCTCATTTACATGTATGTGACAAATCTGCTCATAAAAACGTGCGACAGGGAGTTATGGAAAATGGTACTTATGGGTTATGTAACTACACCACTGCAGGCAAATACTCATGTTAAAGATATGCAGTTTTACATCAGTCACAAAGGCGCATTTACACATGCAAGACTTCCAGCATTCACCATGAACAGGGGTTGCCAAACATATATAGCACAGGTCAAATGCTACAACGCATGTCAAACATGAGCAAAGATTCTTAGGCATTTGGGAGGGTATAGCATACACTTAAAATAAACTGTTAGGCCTCATTCACACTGGGCGTGCACGTCCAGCAGGGACAGGTGCTGCATGTGATTGCGCGCAGCAGCCTGTTCTTCCCCATGGGGGGATAGGGCTGTACGTGGTCATCTGTGCGGGTACAGGTGTCCGCACATGGACGCAGGCAGGATGGATGCCTGTATATCACTGTACAGCTGCGTCCTCCCATAGGGAAGAACAGCCTGCTGCACGCAATCACACGCAGCACCTGTCCCTCTCGGGTTCCGCTGTTTACGGGCGTGCATGCCCAGTGTGATTGAGGCCTAACAGTTTCTTTTAAGTGTTTGGCTGCTATACCCTCCCAAATGGCTGTCAGGGTTCCACCCTGACTTTACTGGTTTGCAACATTCTGGCTTGGCTGCCATTTTACTCACCTGTGTTTCATTCTTTGCCTAAGCAGACTCTTGAACGTTGCTCACTACTCCCAGGCTCCCTCTTATGGCCAGATAGGAGAGCATCATTGAGTGAGTCAGATGGGAGTTTCCTGTCTCTGAGTGATGATGTCACCCCACTCACTATATAAACCACTCAGTCCAGTCTGTCCTTGCCCCTGTGTGGTCTTACTGCGGCTCTAAATAGCCTGAGTCTGTCTATGATCCGATCCTGGCTGATGGTCTCCTCTGGCTCCTGGCTTGTTCCTGACCATGCTGATTTTCTGGCTTGTTCCTGATGACGCTGATCTCTGTGTTCCTGACCTGGCTTGGATGACTACCCACTCTGACTCCGGCTTGTTCTTGTTTATGATTCTGCTTGCTCCTGTGGACACTGTTCTTAAAAAAATATTTTAACCTGCACCTTTTGCTTGTCTGGTTTTCATTGTGCTCTGACACTAACACATATGTAAATGGCAATCATTATTGAATATCATTAATATTATCAACATCTGGTGTAAGTCATACATAGCAGACCAATATTAACATATTTAATTGTGAAAATCTGCTGACACATACACTATACTTTCTAGATTTTATATCCTAATATACTGGCCCCAGACACATCCAGAAAACGATGCAATGGTTTATTTTTTAGGAATGGGTATACACGCTAATCTATTAGGAACGAGTATACATGCTAATGGTTTGTTTTTTTAGGAACGGGTATACACGCTAATCTATTTTTTTAGGCACGGTATACATGCTAATAGTCTATTTTTTAGGAACGAGTATACACGCTAATCTATTTTTAGGAATGGGTATACATGCTAATGGTCTATTTTTTAGGAACAGGTGTTCATGCTAATGGTCTATTTTTTTTTTTTTTTAGGAATGGGTGTACCCGTTAATGGTTTATAGTAAAAGAATAGTTTTTGTAAACGCACAAAGACTCCAAGCAGCAATAAAACACATACACAATTGTTCTCATCCTTACCTTTTATAGTTAATCATTTTTGTATAAAATATCTGGAAGCATTGTTTAGTCCCAATTAAGTGGAATAAATAAAAATAGAGCTGCCTTGTTCAAAGTCCTAAAAGGTCATAAAATCAAGTCCTCCTATTGTGTTCAGTGAAACTGCTGCTGACAACACAACAAAAACCTTTGCATCGCTTGTTATCCTTACATGTATGGGTAAAGAGAATGAGAAGCCATCTGACCAATCGAAAATTAGCATTTGGGCACCGTGGATGTAGCTTCAACATCCTGATATGGCTATAGCTAGCTTCTAGGACATGGTGGAATACTTAAGAGGGTGAGTATATTCCAGAAGGAATTTTGGAATCTCTTTTAGGTTGGCTTTTTGGAGCACTGGAAAGTGGTGGCAGGGCTGTAAGAACTGATTTCTGTTTCACCTGTTTTTCTATTTTGTTTCTTACTTTTCTTTTTTTCTTATCTTTTCCCTCTTAGTATTCTTTGGTATTCAGATTAGAAGGCCTAACTGGCAAGGGCACTCGACTTTTACTGTGCTATATGATGATTATTGCTATCTACCTTCGGAGTTACTCTACATTATTCTTTAGATAGCTTTTGGCCGCTGGCAGGATCAGAGATGTTTATGTACTGTATACTTAATTAGTTTCACACTTGCCTTTTTGACTCAAATGCTATGTATGCCTTGCATGGCCTTTTATCTGTTTGTATCCTTTTATGAAAAATTCAATAAAAACTTTGAAAGAGAAAGTCAGCTTTCAACAGTCATTATTTCCACTGCAGCTTTGTAAAAGAAAGGAATCTTTTCCATACATAAGGCCAGTTCTTCCCCCAGAACCTCCCCCCATTCTAAGGCACATGGATGAATTGGTATTCTTACCTTTTTTTTCGTAGGAAAGCCAGTTAACCTCCTTGTGTCTCATATGTGTTAAAGTGAAACTTCAGGAAAACATCTAAATGCAAATTCAGGTAATGTGTGTACTGTTTTAACCTTCTAGGAGTTGAAACTCTATATCTACTCATGTGATTTACACACTTCTGCCACACTGTAAACACATGTATACTGTATTTCAATGGTATATTTAACTGTTGCCCTGGAGTTTCACTTACTAAATACTTATTACAAGACACTTTAATGTAATACAAGTCATGTCACAGGGCCTGTGGGGTGTTTAGCTCCTCTATTGCAAATTCTTGCTAGCAAAATCTAGGACTCTAGGTTGAGAAATTCCTTCCAGTAAATGTCAAGGTAAAAAAAAAAAAAACCCACAGAAATTTCATAGATTAGGGGAGCCAAGGCCATATTAAGTGGTAATGGTACCCAATTTATTTTAAACTGGTACATGCTAAATCTTCTTCCATAATATCCAACTTGTCCCCACTTTTTTGACAAGGCCCAGGAGATATGGAATACATTAAAGAAAAACTAGCATATAAACCGGTATGTATCAATTTGGAGTATTGATCTAATATTGCCCTAAGCACATGCTTTGTGTAGTGTTCTAGAGCAAATATGTTTATAAAGAAAGTCATCAAGCCTCAAGCAGATCATGGACTGGCATGTAAGCAATAGATCATCGCCTTTGTTACTCACCACTTCCTTTGTTGCACTTCACGACCTGCACCCAGCCGTGCACTGTTTACAGCCCTCAGTGTCAAGCTGACCCCAGGTGGGCAGGGTCCGCACTGGAGGATCTAAATGCCACATGGGCAGGTTTATGCCGCTTAGCACAATGGGAGGAAAGGCAAAAGCGATAAAGGTACTGACTTTATTGTACTTGTGACAACCCAAGGTCCTACTGATGTTACACGTCTGTTCATTTAAAGCAGGGGTAGACAAACTCCGGCCCTCCAGCTGTGGTGGAGCTACAAATCCCATGACGGATTGCAAGATTCTCACAGCCATGACTCCCGGAGAGAGATGCATCATGGGATTTGTAGTCTCACCACAGCTGTAGGGACGGCGTTTGGCTGCCCCTGATTTAAAGCGTGTGTGTAGTCACATTTTTTTATTCTCAGTCTTGGATAGCTAAAGGGAGGGGTAAAATTCCTGTCAGTTTATTTTTTCTGTCTGTGTGCTGTTGGGGAGATTTTCTTTCACTTCCTGCCCTGGAAATGCAATAGGAGAAGTGAGTGGAAATCTATATGAATTAAAAGGAATTCCTCTCAGACAGTTGTCACTGAAAAAGGTAATTAGACTGGATTTACCTTCACCTCTTGTTCTGGTGACAACTGTAAAATTTAGAATTCAACGTCACTTTCTGTTTTGGTTACAATGGTCATTATGACAAATAGAGAGTTAATCTACCAAGTGGAGATGAAGATGAAAACAAAAAACACGATAGAAGTTCTAATTGCCTACTCTCTACAGAACAAAAAAAAATGTTTTGCTATACATATACTTTCAGCAATCACAAGTACAAAATGGATGTATGTAAATCTGAAGAGATAATATTTCCAAATGATTCCAATTTTTTATAAGTTTAAAAGACAATAAAAGAGCTAACAGTTTTGTTTTGCTTTCTGTTTTTTTTTTAACAATGAATCAAGCACATAAAAGCACAGGAAATGGTAATGAAAAATAAATTATGCATCACGGATGATCACAAATCTGTACAGGTCTGTAAAAACTCTTTTTTTGTATAACAAAACTTTATCAAAATGGAACACTCCAAAGAAAATATGTGTATACTGCATTTCATATAAAAGGCATCCAGAATTTGTTGTTTTCATTCAGTAGTTGAAAAAAAAACTATTGAAAATAAGTTAATTTGCAAGGCTGAAAACCTTTCAATGTGACATACATTTCTGGCATGTACACGATGTATTTGTCAGGTGGAATGCAATGTCATTATCGCGTACGTGAACGACACATAAATAGGAGGACACGCCGAATGCTAGTCAAGCGATCTTTGAGTGATGTCATTGCGAGAAAAGGGAGCTGAGCCCTGCTCTCTAGAGGAAGAACAGCGAGAATCCACCAACACCATGCGGGTCCATTGGGGTTTACCTAGAAAAGATAGGAATTCATAAAAATCTGCATAGAACAACTAAGCAAAATTAACAATTTAGGCTCTGCATACACTGGCCTATCAATATAGTCACATTTCTCTAGTTCATTAATATGTCTATCACATCCTAGTCTGGACTGTCTTACTCCTGAACTTCATGTGAGGTTGTCCATCTGTGGTGAAAGTAATACAGGGTTGTTTGACTGAAAAAAGACAAAGGGATATTACTCCAGGTCCAGCAGTTCTGGAGGAACACCAAGAGTACAAAATAGTAATAAAGCTTGGATTGTGACATTATTAAGCAGCTCATATCACATCGAGTACAGTAATATATTCATGTTTATATGGACATGTGGTCTGCATGTCCCTAATCAACTACTTTATCCTAATGTATTTAATGCTATTCATGAAGCCAGTGATGAGCAGAAATCTGTGTTACATCAATCTAATTATGAAGCCAGTGATGAGCAGAAATCTGTGTTACATCAATCTAATTATGAAGCCAGTGATGAGCAGAAATCTGTGTTACATCAATCTGTTCAAGAAGTCAGTGATGAGCAGAAAGCTGTGTTACATCAATCTATTCATGAAGCCAGTGATGAGCAGAAAGCTGTGTTACATCAATCTATTCATGAAGCCAGTGATGAGCAGAAATCTGTGTTACATCAATATATCCATGAAGCCAGTGATGAGCAGAAATCTGTGTTACATCCAGGGGCGTATCTGCCGCGAGGCAAACAAGGCGTTTGCCTGGAGCGGCAGATTCCCAGAGGGCGGCAATTGCTGCGGGGAGAGAAGATTGAGAGAAGGGGAGAGAACCTTAGGACATCGTAGCGGCAGTGACGCGGACGGCGGGCCGGGAACGTGGACGGCTTCTTGCGCGGACTGCGGCTCCCGGCGGTGACCATACAGCGGGCGGCGCTGGTTTGACTGCTCCGGTGAGTGATCGTCAGGGGGGCGGGGGGAAGAGTACGATCTGCCTGTCCAAGATGGGCAGATTGTACGTTTTTTAAATCACTTTACAACCATCGCAAGACTAAGGTCTTGCGATGGTTGTACCGTGTATGGCCACCTTTACATCAATCTATTCAAGAAGGCAGTGATGAGCAGAAAGCTGTGTTACATCAATCTATTCAAGAAGGCAGTGTTGAGCAGAAAGCTGTGTAACATCAATCTTCCCCCCAAAATTTTTTTCCTTTCAACTAATATTTTGTTTGAAATATAAATGAGTAACTAATTACGTTTTACAATGATGGTTAGGCCACATAGAGTAACTTGTATACTTAAAACTTTTCCAGTAGGTATAAGACCTACACCCGTTTTGCCACAATGCAGTTTTTTTCTTATTTTACATTTCTTTTGTATTTGTGGAAGGTTTTCCCCACTTTTCAATTATAAAATTCGCACCTGCAAAATACCGGAAGGAGTGTTTTTGGTTTCTGAGGGTAACACACTGACTGACAGTTCTCTCCTTAGAGAACATTTACATCAAATAATACATTAGTAAATGTGTTTATATATGCACAGAAATTATATTGCAGTTTTTCAAAGATTTTATTTAACTGCTTTCACTGAAAAAAGGCAGGGCAACATACCAAAACTGCGATATACTCTTTCCCTCCATGCTACCATAATGCATTGGTGGGAACAGGTCTGCATCCAGTGTGAACAAACCATTCCACAAATGCCAATGTAGTGAAACACTTACTGCAACATACATATCTTTTAGTAAGAATATGTGATAAAAGACTGAAGGAATATGGAAGAGAGAATGGAATACATATATTGATTTATTCACCTAAATGAAATAATACATTTCCTGTACTTGCAGCCATGAGACAATTAAAAACATTGATGAAAGGGTGAATCAAAATTAGGCAATGTCTAATATTCTCATTTCCCAAAAATCCATCTTTACGTAGCAGTCAATGAGTCAATAAGTATACATGGCTAAGTACATATGTCCATTTATTTAATCTTTGCTTGGAAATAATACACTGGTGAGTTGAGGAAAGCATTGCAAACAAACAAACTAAAACCATTAAAGGAGAGGTATTGGGAGAGTAAAATATACTCTCCCCACTGCTTAGAGCTGCCGTGGGGTACTGCAGCTGTCACAAGCTGGCTCTATACTCAGAGCAGAGAGACCACTTATTGCTCAGCTCATTTGCTGATGGCGCGGCCGCGGCTCATGATGTCAGCCCTATTGGTGCTGTCGGCCAGTCTACCGAAATGTTAGTATGGGGGGGCGGCGTCGCTGTCCTGCCTAGGGCAGCAGGTTTCCTAAATACACCGCTGGTTACATCAATCTAATTATGAAGCCAGTGATGAGCAGAAAGCTGTGTTACATAAATATATCCATGAAGCCAGTGATGAGCAGAAATCTGTGTTACATCAATCTAATTATGAAGCCAGTGATGAGCAGAAATCTGTGTTACATCAATCTAATTATGAAGCCAGTGATGAGCAGAAATCTGTGCTACATCAATCTAATTATGAAGCCAGTGATGAGCAGAAATCTGTGTTACATCAATCTAATTATGAAGCCAGTGATGAGCAGAAAGCTGTGTTACATCAATCTATTCAAGAAGCCAGTGATGAGCAGAAAGCTGTGTTACATAAATCTATTCAAGAAGCCAGTGATGAGCAGAAATCTGTGTAAAAGGTGCCCATACACTGCTCGATTCTCGTACGAGAATCGTGGGAAATCCCGCGATCGTACGAGAATCGTGCAGTGTGAACGCAGACGTGCGACCGTTTCTACTGTACGGTCGCACATCTTTTGTCTAAGGAGCACGCTAGCAAACCAGCCGAAAATCGTACGATTTTCGGCTGGTTTGAACGGTGCTCGGGAGACAAATGCCGAACGGGCCAGTGTGCGCACGCGCACACTGCCCGTTCAGCATTGAGGTCATCGGAAGCTCGCCCCTCAGGGGGGCAGGCTTTCGATGATCGAGAGTACGATCTGCCTGTCCAAGATGGGCAGATTGTACGTTTTTTAAATCACTTTACAACCATCGCAAGACTAAGGTCTTGCGATGGTTGTACCGTGTATGGCCACCTTTACATCAATCTATTCAAGAAGGCAGTGATGAGCAGAAAGCTGTGTTACATCAATCTATTCAAGAAGGCAGTGTTGAGCAGAAAGCTGTGTAACATCAATCTTCCCCCCAAAATTTTTTTCCTTTCAACTAATATTTTGTTTGAAATATAAATGAGTAACTAATTACGTTTTACAATGATGGTTAGGCCACATAGAGTAACTTGTATACTTAAAACTTTTCCAGTAGGTATAAGACCTACACCCGTTTTGCCACAATGCAGTTTTTTTCTTATTTTACATTTCTTTTGTATTTGTGGAAGGTTTTCCCCACTTTTCAATTATAAAATTCGCACCTGCAAAATACCGGAAGGAGTGTTTTTGGTTTCTGAGGGTAACACACTGACTGACAGTTCTCTCCTTAGAGAACATTTACATCAAATAATACATTAGTAAATGTGTTTATATATGCACAGAAATTATATTGCAGTTTTTCAAAGATTTTATTTAACTGCTTTCACTGAAAAAAGGCAGGGCAACATACCAAAACTGCGATATACTCTTTCCCTCCATGCTACCATAATGCATTGGTGGGAACAGGTCTGCATCCAGTGTGAACAAACCATTCCACAAATGCCAATGTAGTGAAACACTTACTGCAACATACATATCTTTTAGTAAGAATATGTGATAAAAGACTGAAGGAATATGGAAGAGAGAATGGAATACATATATTGATTTATTCACCTAAATGAAATAATACATTTCCTGTACTTGCAGCCATGAGACAATTAAAAACATTGATGAAAGGGTGAATCAAAATTAGGCAATGTCTAATATTCTCATTTCCCAAAAATCCATCTTTACGTAGCAGTCAATGAGTCAATAAGTATACATGGCTAAGTACATATGTCCATTTATTTAATCTTTGCTTGGAAATAATACACTGGTGAGTTGAGGAAAGCATTGCAAACAAACAAACTAAAACCATTAAAGGAGAGGTATTGGGAGAGTAAAATATACTCTCCCCACTGCTTAGAGCTGCCGTGGGGTACTGCAGCTGTCACAAGCTGGCTCTATACTCAGAGCAGAGAGACCACTTATTGCTCAGCTCATGGGCTCCTCCCCACAGGGATTCCCCCCTCACCTCTCTGCCCCTCTAGTACTCTGGAACAAAGAAGGGAGGAGGTTGCCACAGAGGGCTTTGCCGGATGGATACTATTGTCGATCCTTCATGGCTGCAGTGTGGCTCTGTCCCAGGAGTACTTTGCTAGATGTGATCCAAAAGAGAAATAAAGCCAAAAAAGGTTTGGCTTTACTTCTCTTCAAAGCAGTTTTCTGGAGGACCTCTAGATACCCTCCAGTCTATGGTTGTTTAATACAGATTTTAATATAGCAGCTGCCACTGCTGACCCCTTCCTGAAAATACTGGTTTCCTGTCTGTTTTTCAGGTCCTATAGAGCTCAGATTAAACTCTGACTTTTATGATCTTCACGTTTGTTCCAGGTCAATGTCTCTATTGGAAAGTTGAGTTCTAATGTGTAATATATACAGCCAGCTAATTATGAAGATCTTTAAACTAACATGTATCAGAATAAGAAATTACCATGTGTACCCATTTTTAGCTTTATCTTTCATTTTCAACACTAACTTTCATCAATGAGTAACTCATTCAGACTGTACCCGAGTAAAGCCTATTCTAAAACAAGTAACAGTTATTTGAAAATGTACCTGTAAATCAGAATCCTTAGCTGGCATAGGACCAAAATGGCTCAAGATGCGAGTTTTTAACGCTATTTTCAGAGTACTGAACCAGGTGTATGCCTGATCATACACGGCATTGTGCAATGTCAGTAGTTCCTCATAATCTTCCTCTTTAACCTATAAAACAATACAAAAATATTTTATTGCTCACATTCTGAATATTCTGTATTCTAAAAGATTTCAAACATATATATATTCCTCGCATCACCTTTCAACATCTCGTGGAGTCATCTCGTGGCCCAACAAAGTACTGATGGGGTGGTCATAATAATCTGGCCACTCAGTGTGTGTGTGTGTGTGTGTGTGTGTGTGTGTGGGTGTGGGGGTGTGTGGGTGTAGGTGTGTGTGTGT